ACAGGAGGGAAGTTTGTGCTGATTAACCATTGTTATAGTGTTAATGTTCGAAGGGAATTAGGAACCGTTCTGTAATGAGAAGTAAGCAATCAAAAATGAAGTCATGAAAGCGGGTTTAAACCGGGTATTGTTATAAGCACGACGAGCTCTTGCGAAACCAGATGCCTAATAGTTTTTGAGAGTAAAACTCCGAAGTTACAAGAGGTGCCTGCAGATTTTAAGACTTAACAAACTTCAACTGCACAGAAAATACCGCGTGAGTACTACACCTCATTCAAAGTCTGTTGTATCCTAAAGGTTTTAGGCGCTTTGTTGTAAGAAATTTATGCGATTGAATGTAAGCGTCTCATATTTCAGCTTGATTCGCTCCTTTCAAATTTTTGAGGGTGGAATTTCCAGTAACGTTACGGAAAAAAAGACCGTGCACCTGTTTTCAAGAGCTCTTCCAACATATACTATGTGGACATACTAACAAAAATATTTCTGCCGATTAGTGTTCTTGTAATCTGCTAGATTCAAAGGTGTGCAATATCTAACAACCACTCAGCAAGATAAATAGGCGAGAAAATATATATAAGTTATGGCAGTTCTTCTTCACGAAACTTTCCTGTTTCTTATCTTTAATTTGAAGTTACGCCTTATACTAAAGCTTACTCAAGCTGCTATTGTTGAAACTGTAAACAGAAAAGTTTTTCATAGCCGCTAATAACTGATGAGCTGATTGATTGAAATGGTTAAAAAACTGATGGTTGTTGGCCGGTCACGTGTCGATGAACTCGCAATCAACTCAGTACTACACTTTGGATCATTTGTAGGTTCTCTGAAAAGCTGAAGATGTCTCTCAAGATCTATGTACTGATGGCTTGCGTTTCGATCTGTCTTGCAGCTAAGAGAGAACAGGAAAAAGAAGGTATTTTCAATAGGTTTATATCAAGAGACCATGAACTGTTTTTGTTATTCATTTTCTGGAGTTTAGATGCGAGATCGCTCAATTCGAAAGTAGGCTGATTGGAATCAATTCGACACTGAATTTGCCACTAACTTAATCTTGTTTATTCAGATACCAGCTGTCAAACATGTCAACAATGTAAATTTTTGTTTGGATATTGTAGAGAGGAATTACATGTTAATCACCTCTGGGAGTTAAAAAGGGTTAAGCTTCCTTAAGCTTTTCATCCTGAATTAGGTCCAAGGTACACGCAATGGCCAAGAATGATATTAATGAAGAAGACGATATAAATGATAAACCACGGTCTTTTTTAGGATTTTTCTTTGTATGTCTTCTTCTTTACTAGTTTTCAACTGACGTATATTTTATGCCGTTTGTAGTTCTTCCAGGTGTTTTCTGTCCAGAATGTATTGGCTATGGAGATACTGCAATGAAGGCCAAAGAAGATTGCTTCGCTAAAGCTATTGTGAAACGGTGCAAGGAAATCGATCCAATATGTGCAAAATTCTCTGGAAAGAATTTTGACGGGAAAAGCATGGTTCATCAGTTTTTATGTCTGAGCTCAAAAGATTACGACGAATTGACAGCTTCTTGTAAAGTAGAAGGTTGCATTGCGTCAAAAGTACAACTGCCGATGGCAATCATTCCAGTTAAAAACTAAACCTTCTTTTGTCTGTTCAGGTATTCATGTTATTTGATGAAAGTTTAGGAAAGTTTATTTGAGAAAAGTTTGGGTCTGAGCTTTATCGCTAATTATCATAAAACAATGGAATTCGTTAATCGATAGGTTAAACCGTACTAATACGCATGACACACAGCGCTCAGTTGACCCCAGTCCCCTCTCATTCTCGTGGGGTGACTTATATTCTCGCTGATTTCATCTTTTTTTTTTCAGTATACACACAGTTTTCTTATTTGATTTGCGACTCGTATTCAAAGTTTTGTATTAATTTATGTCGTAGTGTCTGTGATGGAGAAGTCACCCTGGAAACATTTTGGCAGTCATGCTTTGTGTCAGTACCCAGTCGGTTGCTGCTTTTTTCGTACTGAATAAAAACGATCATCATGCACTTTGTCGTCATTACTTTCTGCCGGTCGATTACTCCTCTATATCTTAGCTTAGGTGGAATCCCTAGTTCAAGTGGTATGAATATCGATTATAAACTGGCTTGGATGTTGAAAAATCGAGTATCATTTTCGAAACTTCCAGGAATTTTCTGACATCTTTTGTTTGAGATGATGTTGTCCCATTCAAAATCTGAGTATGAATAGATAACTGAAATATAATTTTTTCATTTACGGCCATATAACCTTAAGAAAACCTTTTTCCTATTATGTTATACTTCCAATCTTCTCTTTGAGGCAGTGAGACATCAGCAATTAACATATATTATCAAACTGTTTATTTCCAAAAAAGAAAAAGAGTACTTTGAACCGATGTCTAAACTTATATATTCTCCCCACCTACTACTCTTCCAGTGAGAAGAAAAAATTCTTATTCATGAAAATTCTTGTGTCTTAAATATCCTTATGATCAATTAAGGCTTTTAC